GCCTCCAGAATCTCCTCTGTGAGCTGGACCTTCGTTTTCCACTTATTTGGGTGCTCCTTGGGATGGCTGAACGGGGGATGAGCTGCAGTGCTGGGCTTGCCCTTTTTCACAGCCTTCTCCTTCCCAAACACCACCGTGTCCCAGAGCTTGAGCCACTTCAGAAGGCAGCGGTTTGTGTACTGCAGGTGGGGGGGAAGTGGGAAAAATCCATGGAACCTCAGAAGGATCGGGCCAAGGACAGAGGAAGGCTCTCCTCCATGGGACAGGCTGCTCAGAGTTCCACCTGGCACCTCCTGGTACAGCACGGGAATGGTGCTTCCCTTTCCAGCTCAATCACCACCCCACAGGGGAACCCAGGACAAGTCACATCAGCCCCATCCCTGCTGTCCCTCCTCTGTCCTGGCTCAACTCAGCACCTCTCAGCCTCTTCCACCATTTGCAACTCCCTATAAAACTTCTGATATTCAAAAAAAACCCCAAACTAGCCCACAATTCCTGGCTAAAGCCCTCCCAGTCTTTTTTGTCTTGCTCTGGCCAAGCTTCAAAATCCCTTTTGTCAGAAAGCCCACAGACTCCAGCTGAAACACTGCCATCCCAAGCTCTCCAGGACTCAGGACTGCTCCCAGGAAGGACCAGCACTTCCAAAGGCAACATCCTGATCCCACAGCATAAAGGAAGAGTTACAGAGGTGCTAATAACCCCCAAGCCCAAGCCTCCCCTTCTCCCAGCACCTCACATCATCACTGAGCAGCTCCATGTAGCGCCGGGGGGTGAACTTGTCCACCCAGAGGCAATGGGAGGCAGATTCCTCCTCAGGATCCATGTCCCCACCAGGTTCCAGGCTCTCCGTGCTGGGCTCACTCTCGAGGCAACTGTAAGAAAGAATTAACTTGCCCCAAACCACTCAGGGAGTCAGGGAAGGGCTGGGAGTTACACCCAGATTTCCCACGCTGAGCACAACAAGGGCAAAGAGGCTGCTCTGCTTGTAGGTCTCAAAAATCTGGACCCCGTGGAGTGTCTTGGGAGGCACATCAGGGAGCATGGCAGGGACAGGACGAGATTTCATCCCAACATCTCACCTGTTTATGATCTCTGTCAGCTGCTGTGATACCTTCTGAACATGCCTGAGACGCTGGAGCACAGAGAGAGGGAGAGCGGGGTCAGGGATACCCCAGTAACCCATGGCTGGGGGGAACAGGGATGGGAGCCAGTCCTGTGGTATCAGGAATGGCAGGGAAAGATGGGAAGGTCAGTGTGAGATGTGGTACCTCTTGGTCCACCTGTTCCTTCAGGTAGGAGAAAGGCACCCCCAGCAGGTGGAGTGGCCTCCGTGCATTCCAGCCCAGGGAATCCGGGAGCTGCAGGGACACAGCACAAACAACCCCCTCCTGAACCAGCTGGAGAACACAGAGAAGCAAACCCAACCTCGAGAGCCCTCCTCACCTCCACCCCTGTCCTGCAGGGATCATCCCTCAGCACCAGGAAGACCCTGGTGCCCTGGGTGGAGGTCACATTGATATAATCCTCCAGGATGGGGGGTCTCTTGAGGACCCACTTCTTTTCAGAGGGTGGTGTGGTCTGCAGGGGGGTCATGCCGCTCATATCCAGCTGGTTCGAGCTGGAAAACACCAAATTTCTTTAGCAGGGGTGAGGAAAGGGCCCTTGAACCCCCTGAAGGTGGGGGCCAAGGGGCCTTTCCCTCGTCCCTGCTAAAAATGGCTTTCAAGGTGGCCAACCTGGTATTCTGGGGAGCAAGAGGTGCCTCTGAGCCCCCATCCCAGGAGACATCAGGAGCCAACTCATCGTCTGCACCAAAATCGAGCTTCTTCACAGCCTCCAGGCGCTGCCGCTTCGACTTCGGGGCTGGGAGAGACGCCGGGGAGGGGGGAAGAGGAGCACCATGATTGAGGGAGGGCGGTACCGGGGATGCTCCGCGCCCGGCACCGCTCGGGGAGGGGGGACAGGGCCCGGCAGCGCCGGGGACCGAATCAAACCTACTGCGGGGTCCGGCCGGCGCTGGGGACCCGGCGGGGGCACAGCCCCGCTTCCTCTTCCTGGAGTGGGAGTCCCCGGCGGGGTCGGGCTCCTCCGGCGGCTGCTTCCTGCCCCGGAACTGCGAGACTCTGGGGCCGGCGGGCGGGGACGGGTCATCTGCAATGGGGGTCAGAGCTCCGGTGAGCGGCCACGGGCGGCCCCGCCCTCCCACCCCCGGCCCCCCGGACCCCGGTGGCGGTCCCGGCCCGGCAGCAGCGCCCACCTCCGAGCTCTGCCAGCACCTCCAGCTCGGCGCCGAAGCGCTCGTAGAACTCATCGTCGGCAGCGCCCGCGGCGCTCTCGGTGCCCGCCATGGGCCGCGCACGCCCCGCCCCGCCTCGCCCCGCCCCGCGCCGCTGCCGCTCATTGGCCACGGCCGCGTCCGCGCCGCTGATTGGACGCGACGCTCGGCCCGGGCCGGCGGGGGCGGCGCTGATTGGACGCGACGCTCGGCCCGGGCCGGCGGGGGCGGCGCTGATTGGACGCGACGCTCGGCCCGGGCCGG